GTCATCAGAAGGATTGGACTCTAGATGCATTGGACCAAAGTCTGCCAGTGGATCCAGTGGAGCAGTGACAGAACTGGCAGGCTGATCAGAAATCTGGCTGGGAGCTTTGGGTTTTTAGCCAGGCCTGAGTCTGCCAGGGCACTTTGGCAGTCTCAAGCAAACACTGAAGATATTTGCTGACAGGAGAGGAAAGGTGATACTCTGCTTGTGAAAGGGAGTGGTGGCAGACCCAAATTCTTTTGATCATTCCCCACAGTCTTAATCTTTTAAGTACCTTCAGGACTTGTGCTATGGCTTGTTTATGCTTTCACTATCTACTGTATCTACTCTTTTCTTCCCTGGCCAGTTTTATGCCTCCCTATACCAGTTCTAGCCTCCCTTAGCTCTCAGGTTCCTACTTTTTTCAGTCTTGGCCTTCTTTTTTCAGCCATTTCCTCCTATCTCTCAGTCTCATTCACATCCAGCCCCACCCTTCCCTCAAATCCTGCCTGCTGTCCCTTGCATGCCAGTCCTCCCTCCACCTCCTCTCTCTGGCAGCCATTCCCCTGCTGTTCTAGACTTCCATTTTACTTCTGGTGTCTTTGCTGAGCCAGTCCTGCCTTTCAGTCTGTTACTGTGGCTCAACAAAAGCATAATGGCCCACTGCAAGCATAATGGCCCACTGTCTACAGCCTTAGGTTAAATGCTTTCATGATACTGACTTTTTGAATCCCTAATCCTTCTCAGACAGCTGCTAGGTCCTGCTTTCCTTATCAACCAAAGTATTCCTTATCAACTTCAGGAACCTATTTAGCAGCAATACCCAGTTCTATTTTCCATTACATACATCTCAGGACCAGTCTTTGTCCATTGTGACTGCTCTGTCAGGACAGTCACTGCTGTGAAGATCACTGGGTACACCATGCAGGCACAGCCTACAGATCCTTTAGCTATCAAGCTCATCAAGTTGACTGAGCATACACCATGATTTATCCAAGTGGTTTGGGTAAATACGGATGAATTTTCTCAAATATGAGAAAAAGCTAGAAGCATTTCTTTCTCCTTGTCCATTACAAATTCAAATAATGTGTAAGAATTTCTTTACTACTATCCCAGAAGGGATACCATGTTGTCTGGTTCTTTAATTTCATTCTTAAAAGTGACTGAATAATAAATATACGCTGATGTTTTCCAAAAATCTTCAGCACCTGCCATGAGAAATTTCAGACTGAATGGTTTAAGAGAGAGGAGATCATAAACACCTGCTCTTAGAATGCAAACCTGACCAGCAGCTTAAGCATAATAGGAGGCATTATGTTCAGTTTCTGGGTGTTACAGTTCAGGATTTTCCAAGCATAGTTACCTACAGAGAACAGTGCCTGCCTGCTAAGCTATTGTACATAAGCAAGATCATTTGAGAGCAATGGAAATTATGCTCAGCTGCACCTTCTCTAATTAGGCAGAAAATGTTTGCTTTTAAGCTGAGTTTCTCAGTTGCTGTGTCCTGTTATTAAGGTAATTGGTCTCTGTTCCTTGTCTGACCCAGAAGGGGATACAGATAGGGATAGTCATCTCACTTAACCAGTCTAGCAAGGAACTGTCATGTTTTCATTTAGCACCTTCCTCTCCCAGTCCACATTCCTGCTCCAGTTTTAATCAAGTAAGTTTCTTGGTAAGAAAGTTGAGCCCTAAGTGCAGGCAACACCAGGATTCATTCTCAGTGAATAAACCACATTCATAAGAAATAATTAGAACTTTGTTATTAAAGCTTGGAGTCAGGAAACTTGATTTCATGTTTGATTTTTTCTGTATATTCTATGTGACTTGATGAAAAACAAACAGTTGAAAAATGCCCATATATTTACACTGCTGCCCATCTCTATTGCTGATGCTGATAAACATGTCTGAAGATGGTTAAGGTGTAAAACATCCTTTAAAAACTACAAGTAGTCTCAGAAGCATAAATGTTAATCTCCCTCGTTGTGGTTCCCCCACTGCAACACACCGAGCAGGTTAAATGGTTAGAAAATTAAAAAATGTCTTAAAACTCAAATAAACCACTGTGAGTTCCTGGGTGCCTGAAGATGGTTAAGGTGTAAAGCATCCTTTAAAAACTACAAGTAGTCTCAGAAGCATAAATGTTAATCTCCCTCATTGTGGTTCCCCCACTGCAACAAACCGAGCAGGTTAAATGGTTAGAAAATTTAAAAAATGTCTTAAAACTGAAATAAACCACTGTGAGTTCCTGGGTGCTCCAAGACTGTAAATAATTTCTTTTCCTTTGCAAGCAATGTTACATTCTTGAGACATCAGTGCAGACTTATGAGTGAATGTGGATCCTCAGGTACTAATCTCCCATGGAAGTGGCTGTAGCTGGATACAAGATTGAAATGAAGATATTTATTTTATAAAGTCAGCATCTTGTCCATGTGGACCAGGGGACTGAGACCAAAGCTCCAACATGGGCTTCTCACCAGAGAGAGACAGAGCACAAAGCCAGTGGACCACCTCTGGCCAAGTCATCAGTGCTCACAAAGAAGGACCAGCTCTCTAGTCTGATACTCTTTCTCCAGAATTCATTTTCATCTCATTTCTATTTCAACACTACCAAATATCACTTCTAAAGCTCCCTTCTTCTCACGGAGTGCTCAAATGACTCAGATGCAGAACCAGGCTCTATCCTGTGAAGGTGGTAAGACAGAAAATCCAAAATCGATCTTGTGGGCAATTGTTGGCAGGACTGGACAAATAACAAGCGAGACTTTTTGGATTACACTTTGGATGTGGGTGTTTAAATCTGTTATCCAATCTGAGCCTTGTTTCCTGGCATTTTCTTCAACTGTAGCATGAGGACCCTCATTTGTGAGTACTGGCTCACGGTGGTGTGAAGCTCTGTGCACCCATCTCAAATGCTGGGCTGGAGCTCGAAACTGGGAGCCGAGCCCCACCTAGTGACACATGATAAAAATACTCAGCTGCTAAGTAGAATAAATGTTTTATTTGATCATGTTTGAAATTCAGGGAAAAAAGCTTGGTACAATTAAAATGTTTAATTTGCAATTTAAAAAAAAATCTATTCTAATTGTGAATTATTTTTTAGCATTTCTAAGATAATTGCTCCTAGGCTAGCTGAAGAAATAAAAGAATTTTGATTGATATTGCTCAGTAAAATCAGGCCTCTATGGCTGATTGCAAGTTTTTTTTACATGAACTTCAGGTATCTGGACTCTGGAGTTTATTAAAAAATATTTGCTCCATTTTCTGTTTTCATCTATTTACAGCAAAAATGGAACACAAAACTTAAAGAGGATTCTTCAAAAAGTGCCAGACCAACAGCAAAATATTAACATGTGATGACAGCAAGTCATCAGATTCTAATACAGGCCTTCATTACTGCCATTGTTCTGCAAGATGATTTTTCTTAATCAGATAATGATTCTGTTTCAGAATACTTTTTGTCCAGGTTAAAGGTTATTAATAATTTTGGTTAGTTTTCTTGATATAATAAAAAGATTGAACTTATCTTATTAAAAAGGTTAAATTTCCTGTGAAATTTCACATTTGTATTTCAAGGGAAAATTACTTTTCCCACATATTTTTAAAGTGAAACAGCACAAAATGATAGAAAAACTATTTTTTCTCTTTAAGTTTTATAAGCACAAAACTACTCCTTCAGTTTTAGAATTTTATTTTAATTTTCATCCAAATCCTGAAAACTCCTAAAAATTGATGAATAATTAACATTAAAAGACAGACTCCTGATAAAGAAAAGAACTATGAGCTGGCTGGAAACTAAATGGTTAATAAATCCCTTGTAAGACAGTTTTTAGAAATCTTTCCTGCTGTGTTTCTTCAGAATCACTTCTTGGGAGAAAGAGGGGGTGGGGTTGGAGGTGTGTGTAAATTTAAATCAGAATTGTAGCAGGTTCTGTCAAAACAATGAAAATGTCAATTTCAGAAACATCGCATGACTTAGCCTTTTGGAAAAATGTAGTTATTTCCAGTCAGCTTAGAAGGACTCTGAAATGTTCTGGGGCAGAGATTCATTCCTTTTTATAAAAGCCCAGTTTCTGATATTACCTATTTGCTTCCATCTATGTTAGTTTGTCACTCTGCATTTTCTCCAGAGAACTGGAATACATTGGCTTTGTTTTAATTTCTTGTTCTAGACAAGAATAGCCTAGTGCTCTGTCTCCTATAAAACACGGACCAATTCTTAAACAGTTTTGCAAACCAGCTTCCATTTAATTCAATTTTATTGCAATTGCAGATGTTGTGTTACTTCTTAAAGAGAACATTTATTTCTTCCACTGACTGTCAGGAAGAGGACAAAACCATACTTTTAACATCCTTCCAATTTTTAATTTTCTCTAGATTAATGAGCTGAATTTAGTGAACATAAAAATAAATAGGCAACAGGGACAGCACAGAGAAAACATGTTATTAAAAGTGGCTAATAATTCCTGCATTCCTCAGTCATCTGAGTTCCAAGGATTGACCTAATTCGGTGTTATTCCTGTTGTTGCAGGTTATTCCTGTGCATGCAAAATGCATATGGACACAGATGAGAGTATGTATAGCATAATACAGCATGTCAGCGTGATGCAACTGTACAAACAACAGCCAAACAGCAGCTGAAAATCACCTACGGCTGGCTGTGTATTGATAATGCAGCCGGAACAGCAGAACGGGTGTTAGTGGGCTGGACAGGACAGAACAGCCCGCATTTTGCGCCGGCAGTGACAAATCTTCAGCTATTCCCAGAAACAAGCTAATGAGGGGTGAAACATAAACCTCCCACCCTGGCTGGGGACCCCGTATAAACCTGCGGTTGTTTAGGAGCTGCCTCTCCCGGGAGCGGAGCGCCCGGGGGCAGCAGTGCCGCTCTGTCCCTGCCCTCCCGCGGGCAGAGCGCGGCCACAGCGGCGGGCGGAGCTGCCGGAGGTGCCCCCGCCCGGCCCGGCCCGGCCCGGCCCCGC